GCCAAAGCTTGCCAATCCCTGGGTTAGAGAAACAGCTGTCAGGGATGGTCTGGGTTTCCTTGGTCCTGCCTCAGCACAGGGGGCTGCACTAGTTGACCTCTCGAGGTCCCTCCCAACCCAACATTTCTATGATTACATCTTTCTTGGTGTCCTGCTCTGCAGCATTAAAACAAAATAGCTTCTGACTCTCTGCTTGTGAAGAAAACCTTCCTAATGTGACACAATTCATTGCTAGCTGCAGACAAAGAGCCTGAAACATTAGCTCTGAAAGGTGTGAGCTGCTCTTGATCCTATCCATGGACTGTTAACTGGCACTCCGCGCTGGGTTCCCTGCCCAGTGCTTACCCAGGTGCTCACAGGGTTGCCAACTCTCATGATTTTGCCAAGAGTCTCATGATAATGATTGTTTCTCCAGCCCCGGGCCCCGCCCCCCCCCCCCCCCGGCCCCGTGCCCACTCTCTCTCTCACACACACACCGTGCTGCAGCAGAGCCATGCATTGTACAGCGAAAGCTAGAGGGAGCAGCTCGCGCCGCTGGTGGGGAAGGCTCTGCTCATAGGGAAGCGCTGCCTCTTCCATCTCTGCTCCTCCTCCCGGAACCAGACACATGCACAGGCCAGATGTGGCAGAGTCAGCCTCTGCAGCCCCTCTTGTTGCCCACTGGGACATAACTCACCCTGCCTCAGTTTCCCTCAGTCCGTGGTTGGCCGCTGCCTCCCACGTGGTCTGATGCTGCGGCAACTTACCCCTCACCCAAAGTTCCCCTCCCAGGAAACCAATGTTCCCAAACAAATATAACAAAATCAACAGAAGATGCTCTGTCCCAGCCTTGGGCGGGACCCCATCCTTCTACTCGGGTTTAGCTAGTTACCCCTCACCAGCGCTCCCTGCCTCAGGCCTGCCTTTCCTCCGGGGAGACTCCCAGGCACTGATCTCTCTCTGTGCCGGACACAACCTTAGACAACAGTCCCAGGGGCAGCATGAACAGAAGGGCCTTGGCCCCTCGTGGGCTCAGCACCCTGTTCTTTCTGCTCCTCTCTCAGGGCTTCCTCCGGGAGCCTCCCCTCTTCCGGGGCCGGTCTCCAGAGCCTTCCACCCTTCCGCAGCGCCTTGCCCTAACAGCTCTCTTGCCCTTTGTTGGCATTGCAGCACCCCTTCCCAGCCGGGTTTAGTAACTGACCAGGGCCGCCTGCTCCCTAGCCAATCGGGGTCAGCTGGGGGAGGTGATCTGTCACAGCCTGGACCTGACTCTCCCTAATGGGCCAGCCGGCCTGTGACACCAGGCCTCTCCCTTCGCATCCAGTCCAGTGGGACAACTGGTGGAGGAATCTCACCTCCCAGAATGGCCTGCGTGCCTGCAGCTTCCTCAAGGGCTGGTGAGTCCGGGAGAGTCCCTCTGCCAGCCTCTCCCACTCCTGGTCCTGCAGAGCTGGGCACTATCATGACCACGGCTCCTTCCCGGAGCGAGGCCCCTGCACTGCGCCCCGAAAAGTGGGGTCCCGCAGGCCAAGGAGTGGGGAACACGGACGGGAGTGGTGCTTGGCTGCGCTCGCAATGCATCGGGGGATGGGGGAAGGGCGCGCCCCTTGGTCCCCGGTCCCGTGCCTGGCGCCGTTTATTCCATCCCCTCCGTCTCCTTTGACTGCACACAGTCAAGCGCTCGGAGGCCTGTCCCCAGCAGGGCCAGCTCGCCCCGCGCTCCCAGAAGCTGGAGGTGCTGCTGGCAGCCAAGGCCCTTCTCAGGCCAAAGTGCTGTGGGTGCCTTTTATTTCTGCCTCTTCTTTTCACCCCCTTCCTGGCCCGGGTGCCTATGGGAGCAGCGCTCCCAAGCGAATGGAGGAGAGGTAGAAATAGCAGCCTGGCCAGCAAGCACCAAGCGGGCAGGTTCACGTCCAGCAGATGCCAGTTACCCGAGCTGGGGCTGCTGAAGGAGGCTGGCGTCCTCTTATTGCTATCGCCCAAGGTGCCCAGCCAGGGGCGCTGCGTGGGCCCTGCAGGGACGGGGCTCTGTGCACCAAGGGCAGAGCTGCAGGGTCTCCTCTGCCTGTCGCTCCCCCATAGAGACAACCCGACATCTCTGCCTCCAGACCTACCCACCACCATCCAGCCCCAGATCCCGCCTGCCCCGCTGCTCCTCTTCTCCACTCACCCCTGAGTTCCTGGCACCGTCTCTGCAAAGGCCCTTAGGCCAGGAGAGAGAAGGACCTGGCTCAGCCCGGCCCGTCCATTACACTGGCTGCTTTGCCACCTCCCAGCTGGGAACTCCAAGCTTCCTCTGGTGAATTCAGGGGAGAGGAGGAGGAAAATCAAGGGCACCATTTCAGATTTTGGTGAAGGGGGGGAGGCAACTTTAACTGTGATTCCAGGGGTTACGTAGGCACCTGAAAACTCTAAGGGAGGCAGATAACGTAACAATTAGCTGACAGGAGCCCTGTATCTAATTCCTATATAAAAGAAAGAACATTTAAATAAATATTAAACCCACTCAGCTCTAATATAACATGTTCTTGTTGTGGCAAGTCACTTAAGGGACACCAATTAGGTTTAAAATGTTAATATATACTCTTACTTTGTTACTAATTCTGCAGAGAAAGAGAGACCCCATCAGGACTCCTGGGTTCTATCCCAGCTCTGGAAGGGGAGTGGGGTCTAGTGCAGGGGTGCCATTTAAGAGGAGGTGGGTGGGCTCCTGTCCCCACATTGAGTTTCGAACCAGAGATCTGCTCACAGTGCATGCCCTAGGCCAGCTCTGGAAGGGAGTGGGGTCTAGAGGGTTACAGCACGGGGCAGATACATCTGGGTTCTATATAAGAACACCAGAACGGCCATACTGGATAAGACCATTGGTCTATCTAGCCCAGTATCCTGTCTTCTGACAGTGGCCAGTGCCAGGTGCCCCAGAGGGAATGAACAGAACAGGGAATCATCAAGTGATCCATCCCTTGTCGCCCATTCCCAGCTTCTGACAAACAGAGGCTAGGGACACCATCCCTGCCCAGCCTGGCTAATAGCCATTGATGGACCTGTCCTGCATGAACTTATCTAGTTCGTTTTTGAATCCTGTTCTAGTTTTGGCCATCACAACATTCTCTGGCAAAGGGTTGGACTGTGAAGAAATACTTCCTTTTGTTTGTTTTAAATCTGCTGCCTATTAATGTCATTTGGTGGCCCCTAGTTCTTGTGTTATGTGAAGGAGTAAATAACAATTCCTTCTTTACTTTCTCCACACCAGTCAGGATTTTATAAACTCTATCATATCCTCTCTTACTCCTCTCTTTTCCAAGGTGAAAAGTCCCAGTCTTATTAATCTCTCCTCATACGGAAGCCGTTCCATACCCCTAATCATTTTTGTTGCCCTTTTCTGAGCCTTTTCCAATTCCAATATATCTTTTTTGAGAGGGGGCGACCACATCTGCACACAGTATTCAAGATGTGGGCGAACCATGGATTTATATAGAGGCAATATGATATTTTCTGTCTTATTATCTCTCCCTTATTATCCCTTTCTTAATGATTCCCAACATTCTGTTCGCTTTTTTGACTGCCGCTGCACCTTGGGTGGATGTTTGCAGAGAACTAGCCACAATGAGTCCAAGATCTTTTTCTTGACAAGTAACAGCTAATTTAGAACCCAGCATTTGTATGTAAAGTTGGGATTATATTTTGCCATGTGCATTACTTTGTATTTATCAACACTAAATTTCATCTGCCATTTTGTTGCCCAGTTGCCCAGTTTTGTGAGATCCCTTGTAACTCTTCACAGACAGCTTTGGACTTAACTATCTTGAATAATTTTGTATCATCTGCAAATTTTGCCACCTCACTGTTATCCCCTTTTTCCAGATCATGTATAATAAGTTGAACAACCCTGGTCCTAGTACAGACCCCTGGGGGACACCACTATTTACCTCAATCCCTTACAAAATACTGACCATTTATTCCTACCCTTTGTTTCCTATCTTTTAACTGGAATGCCTGGCAGTGCTTTCAGTATCATCTAATAATCCTTAATTTAATTTAATGACAAGCCTTTTGTTATCTTAATCACCCAGCCTCTGTTTATAACAAACTCCCTGCCCCAAGGGGGAAGCTGAGAGCAGCACAGAACTCATCACAGTCCACACTCAAGCTCTGTCTGGGGCTAGGGCATGTGCTGTGAGCAGACCTCTGGTTCAAAACTTGGGGGGAGGGGGGAAGGAGCCCCCTCAAAATGGCGCCCCTGCAGGAAGACTAGGGTTAGGGGTCCAAAGAACATCCCTGGGCTGATGCCGTTGGCTCCACCAGGGAAGATTTGGGACAGACAGCCAGCGTGGAGAAGTGAAGCTCTGAGGAAAGTTTTGAAAGCAGCGGAGGCCTGTTAGATAGAGAGTGGAGGCCTGGCAGCGCAACCGAATAACACAGCAGCATGAAAAGTCCTAAGGGCCAGAATCTCAGCTGGTGTCAATCAGCAGAGCTCATTCATTGAAGACTTGGAGCTATGCTGATCAACAGCAGCCAAGGATCTGGCCCTACATGATTAATTCGACATTTTAAGATAGGTTTCAAACCAACAAATCCAATATTGTTGCATCTCTCCTCCCCTGCCAGGCCTTTCATGTCCCAGGATAAGTTTGTTTTCCTGCCTTTTACCTTCCAGCACCTTAGTGCAAATTCAGCTGCTCTCATGGGAGGAAAGATCAGGCTTCCAGCCTATCACAAAAGACAGAGAGCAAAATGCGCTGCTGACAACCATGGTTCTTTAAGCCACTTATCCATACAGCACCTAAGACTTTACGGTCCAAATTCTGGTCTGTCGAAGCCAATGGCAAAATTCCCATTGGCTTCAACGAGACAGGGGTCTGGCCCTTCCTGTGCAAAGCGCTGTGGAGATATTGACTAGTCCACGGTAGGTAAAAATTGATTTCCTCCTTTTACAGATAGGGAAGCTGAGAGACACAGAGATTAGGGAACTTGCCCAAGGCCCAGCTGCAAAGCTGGGATGAGAACTCAGGACATCACGCCTCCCGGGCTCAGATACATCCCACGCAGCGCCCCCTTTCTCTTCTCCATATACACTTTTATGAATCCATCCCTGGCAATGAAAAGCAGTGCTGGGTTTGTATCTTTTAATAGAGCACGTGGGTGGCTGTGAAAGGGAAGGGCCAAGTCACTCCTATTTCTCCTGGAGGGTGTTCTCCCCCAGCAGACGAAGACTCTTGCTCCTGGAGGATTTGCTGCTCTTGGCCTTCAGCAGCATAGCCTGGCTGTTGGGTAGGATCCCCCCCTGGAAGACAGCATCGCTGCCCAGCAGTAGTTTGTGGAAGTCCTTGTTACGGCGGATGGCAAGCCGCAGGTGCTGCGGCGTGATACATCTCCTCGGGTCGTCCCGGGTGGCGTTCCCAGCCTGTGCCAAGAGCTCAGCGGTCAGGTACTCAATCACGGCAGCCAGGTAAACCAGTGCTCCTCCTTTGATCCGCTTGATGCAGTGTCCCTTACGCAGCATCTTCTCTATATGGTCCACAGGGAACTGAAACTTCTCCCGAGAAAACTGGGACTTGGAGTTTGCCTGAGGTGCCTCCCTGGTCTTCCCCAGCCCAGACATGACTGCAAATTCCTGCGGCTCAGTGGCACTCCGTGCAGTAAACAGCAAGAAGAGCGAAAGAGGCTCGGATTGAGGATTCAACGCTATGGCGGTGGGGGAAAGGGAGGGAGGAAGGATGGCAACCTTACATTTTGATTCGTTGGGTATGAACCAATGGGAAGCAAGATCCTTTATTAGCCAATGGGGATATTTCCTCTCTTTATGATGTCATTTTCATTAACAGCCTGTTGACCTTTGCAGTTTCAAGGGAGAGGTGAAGACGAGCATAGGTCTTTTTAGACAAGCTCTTGTGTAATATGATCTTAATTTACAGGATAATTCCTTTAACTCATCATGTTTACACACATCATGTGCAGAGGGGTGGGAAGATGTTGGCTTCCCCTAGCAAATACTTCCTTCTCAAACATGAACCAGCATGGGTTCTTCCCTGCGCACTCCTAGCTGATGGTCTCCTCGTCACTGAGCTACACAAGTTGGAGATGGACAAGATCGAGTAGTAAACACTCCCAAAGGACGGAGCCATGCCATCCACAGCACTTTACAAAGATGGGTAAGTATCACGCAGGATAAGTGACTACACTCACAGTGTGGCAGAATCCAGTCCTGTATTCTAATCCTTAGACCACACTGTTTCACATCTAGTCAGGTCATATCTAGCCCTTCTCCAGTCTTTTCCCACTACTTCCCTTCGGAAACTCTTCTGCACCCTCATACTTCAGTATAATGAAGGCACTCAGATACTGCGGTGATTGGCAGCAAGATAAGAACCTAAATAGACAGATGGAGATTACTTGCTGTCAGTAAGCTTTCCGGATATTCATCATATATCTGCCCTTTCTTAATCCGTCCCATTACAGCTAGTTCTCTCTTTATAACACCCTAAACAATTCCTTTTCCTGCTCGGTGTTTATGAGATCCTACTGAAACTCACCCACCTCACAGACCTTTGAAGCATGGAACTGACGTGCTCCATACCTGCCATTCCCCTCCAAGCTAAGAAACCCCGTCTGCTTCATCCACCATCTACAGAGTCATTCTGGTCACCACACACGACCTTGCCCATCCTCCCTGGGTGGATGGAAGATGCCCTCCTCCCAGCCTTCAGAAACATGCCCCGGAAACACCTTTGTACCAGGTGCAACGTGCCAGATTGACAGCTCTGGATCCTGAGCAAAAAGGTGCAAAGCTTGAGGCTCAAAACAGCCTATATTTCCCCATACCAACATGCCTCAACGTTGGCCCATGAACCGTAGGTGCCCACTCCGTGGGTGCACCGGGGCTCAAGCACCCATGGGGGAAAAATAGGGGATGTTCAGCACCCACAAGCCTCAGCTGCCCAGCGAGGCTGACATTTGGCGGCTGGCGGGAGGCGCTCGGGGGAGGGGGCATACCGTGAGTGGGAAGAGGCGGAGCAAGGGCGGGGCCTCAGGGGAGGGGCTGAGCAGGGGCAGGAAGAAGTGGAGTGAGAGCAGGAAAAGGGGGAGCGTGGGTGGGGCCTGGGGATGGAGCGGGGATGGCGCACCCACCGGGAAAAGTACAAGTCAGAGCCTGTGCTCATGCATCACCAGCAATAAAGACTGCCATGGGGTGCCACCCCAAATAGCCCAGCGTGGCCCCGCCCATGCTCTGCCAGGAAGGCCCCCTGCTGCTTGCCCTTCCCCCTCGGCCCCCCAGCCCAAGCAGGCTGGCTGCTCCTCTTCAGGGAAGTGTGCTGGGGCTAGGGCTGGAGCTAGGGGACTTGGAGTGGCTGGGGCCACCCAGCGCTGGGGAGTCCCTGGGTCCTGGGGGTGCGCTGCCTGGCGCTCAGGGGGGATTGCGTGCTGCCCGCCTGGGGGGGCTGCATGCCGCCCGCCCTGCTTGGCACTCAGGGGGCACCCACCTGCTTGAGGGCTGGGGGGGCCGCGTGCTGCCTGCCAGGTGCTCGGGGGGGGGGAGGGCTGGCGACTGTGGGGGTGGGGGCTCTGGGCTCTGGTGGGAGGGGCAGGGCCGGCCAGGGGCTAGTCTCCGCAAGCTGGTGGGTCACCCACCACTCATGAAGACTGCACAATTAGAACATGGTTAACATTCTGCTGATGATGCCTGAGGTGGACTAAAATCCAGCTCACTCACCCACTCTCCGCCACTGCAGGGCTGACAGGAGTAAAAACCAGTAAAAACTTTAGAGACTAACCAATTTATTTGAGCATGAGCTTTCGTGAGCTACAGCTCACTTCATCGGATGCATACCGTGGAAACTGCAGCAGACTTTATATATACACAGAGAATATGAAACAATACCTCCTCCCACCCCACTGTCCTGCTGGTAATAGCTTATCTAAAGTGATCATCAGGTGGGCCATTTCCAGCACAAATCCAGGTTTTCTCACCCTCCACCCCCCCACACAAATTCACTCTTCTGCTGGTGCTAGCCCATCCAAAGTGACAACTCTTTACATAATCAAGTCGGGCTATTTCCTGCACAAATCCAGGTTTTCTCACATCCTCCCCACCCCCATACACACACAAACTCACTCTCCTGCTGGTAATAGCTCATCCAAACTGACCACTCTCCAAGTTTAAATCCAAGTTAAACCAGAACATCTGGGGGGGGGGGGTAGGAAAAAACAAGAGGAAACAGGCTACCTTGCATAATGACTTAGCCACTCCCAGTCTCTATTTAAGCCTAAATTAATAGTATCCAATTTGCAAATGAATTCCAATTCAGCAGTTTCTCACTGGAGTCTGGATTTGAAGTTTTTTTGTTTTAAGATAGCGACCTTCATGTCTGTGATTGCGTGACCAGAGAGATTGAAGTGTTCTCCAACTGGTTTATGAATGTTATAATTCTTGACATCTGATTTGTGTCCATTTATTCTTTTACGTAGAGACTGTCCAGTTTGACCAATGTACATGGCAGAGGGGCATTGCTGGCACATGATGGCATATATCACATTGGTGGATGTGCAGGTGAACGAGCCTCTGATAGTGTGGCTGATGTTATTAGGCCCTGTGATGGTGTCCCCTGAATAGATATGTGGGCACAATTGGCAACGGGCTTTGTTGCAAGGATAAGTTCCTGGGTTAGTGGTTCTGTTGTGTGGTATGTGGTTGTTGGTGAGTATTTGCTTCAGGTTGCAGGGTGTCTTTAGGCAAGTCCTGGCCTGAAGACAACCCCGCAACCTGAAGCAAATACTCACCAACAACCACATACCACACAACAGAACCACTAACCCAGGAACTTATCCTTGCAACAAAGCCCGTTGCCAATTGTGCCCACATATCTATTCAGGGGACACCATCACAGGGCCTAATAACATCAGCCACACTATCAGAGGCTCGTTCACCTGCACATCCACCAATGTGATATATGCCATCATGTGCCAGCAATGCCCCTCTGCCATGTACATTGGTCAAACTGGACAGTCTCTACGTAAAAGAATAAATGGACACAAATCAGATGTCAAGAATTATAGCATTCATAAACCAGTTGGAGAACACTTCAATCTCTCTGGTCACGCAATCACAGACATGAAGGTCGCTATCTTAAAACAAAAAAACTTCAAATCCAGACTCCAGTGAGAAACTGCTGAATTGGAATTCATTTGCAAATTGGATACTATTAATTTAGGCTTAAATAGAGACTGGGAGTGGCTAAGTCATTATGCAAGGTAGCCTGTTTCCTCTTGTTTTTTCCTACCCCCCCCCCCCCCAGATGTTCTGGTTTAACTTGGATTTAAACTTGGAGAGTGGTCAGTTTGGATGAGCTATTACCAGCAGGAGAGTGAGTTTGTGTGTGTATGGGGGTGGGGAGGATGTGAGAAAACCTGGATTTGTGCAGGAAATAGCCCGACTTGATTATGTAAAGAGTTGTCACTTTGGATGGGCTAGCACCAGCAGAAGAGTGAATTTGTGTGGGGGGGTGGAGGGTGAGAAAACCTGGATTTGTGCTGGAAATGGCCCACCTGATGATCACTTTAGATAAGCTATTACCAGCAGGACAGTGGGGTGGGAGGAGGTATTGTTTCATATTCTCTGTGTGTATATAAAGTCTGCTGCAGTTTCCACGGTATGCATCCGATGAAGTGAGCTGTAGCTCACGAAAGCTCATGCTCAAATAAATTGGTTAGTCTCTAAGGTGCCACAAGTACTCCTTTTCTTTTTGCGAATACAGACTAACACGGCTGTTACTCTGAAACCAGTAAAAACTTTGTGTCGCTAAAACGTAGCAGCTCAGACGCTGCCCGTGCAGAGGGAGTAAGGAGCAAGACGGTGCCACTTTAAAGTTCCCGCCACAATGAAGTTCAAGAAGAATCAAAATTCAGGTAAGCACAGGGCATTAAACCTACTATGAAGCCTGTGACCAAGTGGATTTTTCCTCCTTATTATGTTGTATGCAAGCCTATGTGAATCTTACCCTTTTACACAAATACTGTGTGCCTCAGTTTCCCTGTGTATTGCACCAGTGCCTGGGTGGTGGGGATAAGGGTGTGTGACTTTTGCCGAGACCCCCAGGGGCAGGTGAGGCAGCTCCAGCTGCCTGCACATAGGCGATGGCCAATGCCCTCCGTAAGCAGGAGGGGGATGCGACCAGGTGACACTTTGCCCTGGAAGCGAGAAAAAGACCAAGAGAAGGGGCAACAAGTGTGTCGGAGGTTGGGTTGCTGGAAGCTGGGCAATCTCCTGTTTGGGACTTGGAGTCTGGCCCAGGATTCTCCAAGATGGACTTTGCTGAAACTCACTGATTTCTGTGCTAACAAGCTCTGTTCTACGTGGTGTTCCTGGTGACTAATAAACCTTATACACTGTGTTATACACTGGCTGAGAGTCACGGCTGGCTGCAGAGTGGGGTGCAGAGCCCTCTGGCTTCCCCAGGGGTCCCGTCCATGTGGACCCGCCAAGGGGAAGTGTGCGGTGTGAACAGCGGGGCTGAATGCTCTGAGGTCAGACTGGGAAGGCCGTAGCTGAGGAGGTTTTTTGCCCTGAACAGCATGCCCTGAGGGGAGTCACGTTACCCAGAGTCCTGGCTGGCTTCATACAGAGCAGTTCCAGAGCACCGGGCCTGTGACTCCGTCACAAAGCCCAAGATGAAAAGACACGTGGGAGGAAGGATGGTTTGGTCATTAAGGCACAGGGCCAGCATTCAGGAGACATGGTTTCAGTTACCGACTATCACATACATTTCCTCTGGGGCCTTGCGTCCATTGCTTAATCATTGTTTAATCTCCAGCCCAGTATCTGACAGCGGCCAGTGCCAGGTGCCCCAGAGGCATAGGCGCCAACTCCGTGGGTGCTCCGGGGCTGCACCGGCAACCCCCCATCAGCTCCCTTCCACCCCCCAGCACCTCCCACCTGCCGGCGAGCCCCACAAATCAGCGCCCCCACCGTCGCCCATTCCCAGCTTCTGGCCAACAGAGGCTGGGGACACCATCCCTGCCCAGCCTGGCTAATAGCCACTGATGGTCCTATCCTCCAGGAACTTAGCTAGTTCTTTTTTGAATGGAGATACTAGCACCGACATTCCCCGTGGGGGGCTGTTATAAAGATAAAATCACTCCTCTTTGTGAGCTTCTCTGCTCCTTCTATGCCGAGCACCCCAGGAGAGCCTAAAAATAAACCTGACTGTATTTGGGATCAAACACCATACAGAAGCTTGTGTGGGAGAAGGGGAAGGAGACACATACCCGTTGCAAAGCCCCAGCCCCGGGGCAGGTACATTATATCAATGAAACTGAAAGGGAGGTGAGGAGATTTAAAATTGATAGCAGGAAATATTTTTCACACAATGCACACTTAGACTGGGGATCTGCCACATGAAGTCTAAGAATGCAGTAAAATTCAAAGAGGGATGTGATGTTTATATGGCTAACAAGGACAGTCAGAGTTTCGATAGTTAATGCTAACCAAAAGGGAAGGGAGCTAAACCTTGCACTTCACAGTTTAAAGCACTGGTTCTCAACCAGGGGTATGCAGAGGTCTTCCCCGGTTCATCAACTCATCTAGAGATTTGCCTAGTTTTACAACCGGCTACATAAAAAGCACCAGAAAAGTCAGTGCAGTACAAACTAAAATTTCATACAGACAAAATGAGACAGTCAGCACTGTTTCCGTAATAATGCACTGGGACACTTTTGTATTTTTATGTCTGATTTTTTAAGCAAGTAGTTTTTAAGTGAGGTGAAACTTGGGGTACACAAGACAAACCCGACTCCTGAAATGGGTCCGGTAGTTGAGAGCCACTGGTTTAAACCAATCTCTAATGATCGGAGAAGAGGATAAAACTCCTCATGGGGCAGATTATCCCACATCTACTGTGCGGTTTCTTGCCTCTTCCTCTGAAGCTGCCCAGTGTCAGAGAGGGTACTAGATCCCCGGTCTGACCCAGTGGGGCAGTTCCTGCTCTCATGTGGCGTAGACCCCAGGCTCCGGCCTCTTGAAACAGACTATCACAGCTTGTCAGGCCCTTAACCAGAGCCCGGGCTGGGGGTTCCCAGTACCAGTGCCCGCAGGCTCCCCGTTTTTAAGGGTTGCCCTGCCCAGGCTGGGCACGGGTTAGCGCCTCCCCCCTGAACTGGCCAGCGGCCACAGCCGGGAAGGGCGGGGAAAGGGGCTGGGGGCGCAGAGCTGCAGGACACCCCGAAGCCCAGCTGCGGGCGGCGCGGCCCCGGGGGCGCGGGGCAGGACGCGCCGGGAAGGGGAGGAGACCGGCGGGCGGGCGAAGGGACCGCTCCCGGCAGGCCGGGGCTATGCCGAGCGGGGCCGCCAGGCGTCCCTGTGGCAGGACTCCCGGCCCGTCTCGCCCGCCCCACCGCTCCCTGCTCCGGAGCTCGCTTCCCGTCCTCCCGGGGCGCGGCCGGCAGCCCGGCGCCATGGGGCGGAAGAGGCCGCGGGCCGGGGCGCCCCCGGCTCAGGTAGGCCGGGGCTCAGGGCCCAGCTGCGGGGCGTGCGAGTGGGGAGCGGCCCCTGGCCCCGCAGCCACCACAGCGGGGCCTGGAGCCTGCTCCGGGGGACGGCCGCCTTCCCCGCCCCGCTCCAGCCCCGGGCTCCGGGGGGCGGCCGCCTTCCCCGCCCCGCTCCAGCCCCGGGCTCCGGGGGGCGGCGTGGCGGGAGCCCGCGGCCGGGGGAAGGGGCGGCCGGCAGCTCCAGCCCGCCGGGCTGGGGAGAGCCGAGCCGCCTGGCAGCTGGCGGGACGCACCGCCCCGCGTGCCCGGTCCAGGCCCGGGCGAGCTGCGGGTGTGTCCGCGGAGTCCCAGGGATGGGCTGGCCCCTGGGTCACCGCGGCCGGAGACCCGCCTGCAGGCGACCCCAGCGCAGAGCTCTTCGGAAACCAGCCCGGCTGGGCTGAAACCTGGCCGGGGATGGAGAATCCGCCCGCCCCGCGGGGGTTCATTACCCCTCCCCATTAAAGTCCCAGAGCCTTGGGCCAGCAGGGACCGATCCAGCCCCAGCATGTCCCGGTGTTTTCTAATCATGGTTCCTTTTATGGGGTGGAATTTGTTAGGTTGTTTTATCCATTTTGGGGGGGCAGGGCGAGTCCTGCCTACCCCCAGTCTATGTGGGTTGGTGGGAGGCCTTAGGGTGGGGGGCGTGTGGGGTCCTGCCCCCAGGGCGGGAGGGCAGGTTGGCTCCTGTCTTTTTTTCTGCATTTCTTATCTGCTAATGTCCGTTGATTGCTGTCTAGCTTCCCTTCTTTTCACTTTTCTGTTGATTTTTATATCTAATTGTTGCCTTCACCTTTGAACCGGGATGGCTGTTAGCCAAAGCTGCCCTCTTGATTTGCGCTACAAGGGGGGGTGAGGTCCTATCTTTGACTGGACCGGCTTCTGTGGGGGGAGAGAGGAGCTGTACAGAGCTCTTCTTCAGGTCTGGGAAAAGTACTGAAGCCTCGCAGCTAAATACAAGGTGGAAGAGATTGTTTAGCGTAATTAGTTGGGACCATTCAAGGTGGAGTGGCTCATTAACATATCTGCAGTCAGAGGACAAAAAAGTTTACAGATTGTTGGGTCTCTGTTTGGTCCATGATTTTTAGTACCCAGCAGGGTTGTGAATTTAATCTCCCAGGCTCCTCTTTTGAAAGTGTTGTGCAGGTTGCCTTTGAGGACGAGGACTGAGAGGTCGGATGTAGAGTGATCACTTTGTGAGACGTGTTCACCCACCCACAGCTGACAGGGTGTTTTTGACTTTTATCATTTGCCTGTGCGAGGTCATTCAAGAGTGTCGTGACCGTCTGGTGTGACCCACATGGTTGCTATCGGGGCATTTAGTACACTGGATGAGGTACACCACATGTTGTGATGGGCATGTGTAGGATCCATGGATCTTGAAAGGTGTGTTGTAGGCGGTGTTGAGCATTGTAGCAGTGGAGATATGTCTGCAGGTTTTGCATCTGTTTTGACAGGGTCTGGTGCTGCTTTGAGTTGGTGTGACCAGGTCTGTGGGGAGCTTGCTTCTGATGATGAGCCTGGAGTTGTGGGGGGCTGTTTGGTTGCCAGAAGTGGGGGTTCAGGACAGATTTCTTTCAGGATGGGGTCTCCATTGGGGATGGGTTGTTTGATGATTCCCCATATGGGTTCCAGTGTGGGGTGGTAGGTGACAACTAGGGGTGTATAGTCAGGGGGCTTTATTTCTGAATGGAAGCAGGCTCTCTCAGGGTATGTGGGTGGCCTGTTCCAGGATACAATCTACTTCTCTGGTGGAGTGTCCGTGTTTGGTAAAGGCGGTTTTGAGTGTGTTAAGGTGTGAGTTCCGGATTTTCACCTCCAAGCATAGTCTGTGGTATCTGAGTGCTGAGCTGTAGATAACAGATTTCTTGGTGTGTTTTGGGTGGTGACTGGATCTGTCAGGATAGGTGTGGTGATCCATGGGTTTCTTGTATGTAATTATCTGTAGGGTTCCATTGCTGAAGGTGATCGAGGTGACCAGGAAGTTGATGCTGGTGTGGGAGTGTTCCAAAGAGAGTTTAGTGGACGGGTGGTGGTTGTAGAAGTTGTGGTGAAAATCTATGAGGGAGTTAGTCGTCTGTCCAGAGGATGAAAATATCATTGGTGTCTCTCAAATATATCATTGTTTTTGGGGTGCACTTGTCTAGAAATTCTTTTATGTATAAATAGGGTGGCACATTGGGGAGCCATCCTAGCACCCAGGGCTGTTCCCATGCTTTGCACTAAGTGTTTGTTGACTGTAAAGTTGTTAGGGGTGAGGATGAATTGGATGAGTTTGGCGATGTGTTTGGGGTGGATCTCTGAGGGTTGTCCATTGTCTTGCAGCTATTTGAGGTAGGCAGCGATACTGTCATTGTGAGGGACGTTGGTGTTAGGGAGGTTGTTAACGTTGCGGCGTTTGTGGAGGAGCTCGTAGCGTCCTGGAAGAAGCTGGCCCTTTGTGTGGTGTGCGGTTTGAGGACGGCTTCTGTGAGTCCTGATATTCCTTCAGTAGGAGTGCCGTGGCCAGATATGATGGGTCTGCCTGGAGTCCCCTGTTTGTGTGGCTTTGGAAGCATGTAGAAGGTCCCTGGGGTGGGTCGTGGGGGGTCCATTTGTAGGATTTCTCTTTCTTCATTGTGGAATTGCAGCTTTTTGGCCCTCTAATCAACTCTTGTTAAAGAACTCCCCATTTTCAGACACATTTTTCTGTCTGCGTTTTTCCTCCCAGTCAAATTCACTGAAAATTTTCCTCAGCTTTGGGAAATTAGCCCTTCTGAAGCACCATGTATATGTATTACTGGTTGGGACTGTCCTCCGTTTGCCTATATTGAATGTAATCAGGTCATGATCACTGGTCCTGAGGCAACCACAGCTTCCAGGCTAGCGGTTAATTTACCTTTGCCAGCCAGAATGAGGTCCAGAATAGTTACCTTGTGTTGGGGGCAATACGTTTTGGGTTAGAAAAGTAACAATGGCATTTCTGTAGTGTCGAGAAGCGCTTGTCAGACCAGATGCCGTTCGTCGTACTGTACAAACAGAGAACAAAAAAATGGTTCCACATCTTTAGAAACTCCTAGTGATGTTTTATTATTGGCTGCATGAGGCCCCCAGCACATCATTCCAAGCGGAAGTCCCTCAGAGCTGCCCAGTTTTTCTTTCCCCACATTACAGACAGGTGCCTACGGAGAAACTCCCTCTGTTCCTTGATTTGACAAGGTGGCGTGTACCAGACCCCTCCCTGTGCTTTGAAATTAGCACATTGATCCATATGCGTTCAAGACCCTGAGGTTCTGAGTTATCAAAAACTCTAAAACAGGTGTAGAAATCCCCCTCCCCCCGTTCTTTTAGCCCCGATGTTCATCCTAAACAGGTTACAACCATTCATTTTAACATGCCAGTCTTGCAAATTGTCCCACCAGGCTTTAGTAATTATAGAATCTGGACTGGAAGGGACCTTGAGAAGTCATCTAGTCCAGTCCCCTGCACTCAAGGCAGGACTAAGTATTATCTAGACCATCCCTGACAGGGGTTTGTCCAACCTGCTCTTAAAAATCCCCAATGCCGGAGATTCCACAACCTCCCTAGGCAATTTATTCCAGTGCCGAACCACCCTGACAGTTAGCAAGTTTTTCCTAGTGTCCAACCTAAACCGCCCTTGCTGCAATTTAAGCCCATTGCTTCTTGTCCTCTCCTCAGAGGTCAAGAAGAACTATTTTTCTCCCTCCTCCGTGTAACAACCTTTTATATACTTGAAAACTGTGATGCCCGTTATATCACATCCCTTCTCATCAGTGAGAACTTCCAATTCCGTCTGCTTGTTACCCAGACTCCTACATTGGTATAGAAGCAATGGAAACATTTCTTCCCTTCCTCTCTGTCACATTCATTCAGATTGTTTGTGAGACACGGAGTCTGACCTTCTATCGCCTTTGCCTCCTTAGCACCCTCCCCCTTTATTGTTAGTTTAATGCCCTCCTGGCTGCTCCAGCTAGTCTCCAACTGAGCTTAGCCCCCACCACCTGGGATATGCAGGCCGTCTCCTGCATCTTCCTTTGAGCTAATCAGTTCCTGTGTTCCCTTCCCTCCCACTTCTGCCCTGTCGTATGCTGACGATGTATAATAATTAGGGCCCTACCAAATTACCACAGCCATGAGAAACGCTTCACGGACCGTGAAATCTGGTCTCCCCATGTGAAATCTGGTCTTTTGTGTGCTTTTACCCTATATTATAGAGATTTCGCGGGGGAGACCAGTGCTTCTCAAATTGGGGGTCCTGACCCAAAAGGGAGTTGCAGGGGGTTCACAAGGTTATTTTGGAGGTATTGCGGGATTGCCACCCTTACTTCTGCACTGCGGCTGGCGGCGGCTCTGCCTTCAGAGCTGGGCTTCCGGCCAGCAGCCGCTGCTCTCCAGCTGCCCAGCTCTGAAGGCAGAGCCACCGCCAGCCGCAGCGCAGAAGTAAGCGTCGCAGTACTGAAAACCCGCCCCCCCAACTCCTTTTTGGGTCAGGACGCCTACAATAACAACACCTTGAAATTTCAGATTTAAATAGCTGAAATCATGAAATTTACAATGTTTAAAATCCTATGACCGTGAAATTGACCAAAATGGACCTTGAATTTGGTAGGGCCCTAATAATAATGTAAGAAAACCCTATCCCCAAATTACAGATCTAAACAAAAAATATTGTGGAAGGTACCTGACACTTTCATGGTTTGCTCTGCTTGTACGTGGAAGTAACTGGCTTGGTGGCAGCTGAAAAGGAGCCGGGGGTTAGAGTGGGGCACACACTGAATATGGGTCAGCAATGGGATGGAGTTGTGAAAAAGGCTAAGAACATTCTGGGGTGTATTAACAGGAGTGTCGTACGTAAGACGCAGGAGGTCATTGTCCTGCTGCGCTCAGCACTGGTGAGGCCTCAGCTGAAGTACTGTGTTCAGTTCTGGGCACCACACTTCAGGAGAGATGTGGCTACAAACACCTGTCAGGGATGCTCTAGCTTTATTTGGTCCTGCCTCAGTACAGGGGGTTGGACTTGATGACTTCTCGAGGTTGCGTCCAGCCCTGCATTGCTATGATTCTATTATTGTGCGCTCCTTTCCCTGTTCATGTTTGTCTTGCCCGCTTACGTTGTCAGCTCTTTGGGGCCGGGACTGTTCCCTAGTCTGTGTGTGTGAAGCACCGAGTGCAGTGGGGCTCTGAGCTTGACTGGGGCCTCTGGGCACTACTGAAATGCACGAATTAGATAATAAAAGCCCCGGGTGCAGGGCCTGAGCGGAGGCTGGACTCAGGCCTGGCTTCCCTGTTAATAGCCCAGGATAGTATATGCACCATCCGAATAAGACATGAGAGAGCTCTGAACAGGCCTCGGATAGTGTCCATCAGCCCAGTGAGCCCTGAGAAAGCAAAGGGTGCCTCCTGTTCCCTTCCAGGACCTTGACGTTACACCCATGTGAGGTGGGCTGCCCTTAGGACAGGTGTCTGCTGTCAGGCGGGTGCCCACAGGTGTGACCCTCCTGCCGGGCTGAGTCTGGGGCAGCAGGAGGTGGAAGCAGCAAGGGCTGAGCATGGAATGCTTGTCATTGCAGGGCCGGGTGATGTTTGAGGAGGTGGCTGTCTGGTTTTCCCGGGAGGAGTGGGAGATGCTGGCAGACTGGCAGAAGGAGCTGTACCGGGCCGTGATGCTGGAGAACTATGAGAATCTGTTTCTTCTAGGTAACAAGTGACTTGGGCTGGAGGACATGGGATTTTGGAGGCATGTTCACTGCTTCAGACACATTCAGAATCCCTTCAATAAGCATTTGAAATATCCTGGGATGGCCTGAAATAGCCTGTGCCCTTTGTAACACTCACTCAGGTGTTAGCCAAGCAGCCACCCTGCTTGCCAATGCAGGAATCAGTTCTGTTGCAGGGAGCTGGCCAGCAGCCAGGAGAGAGCCCTAGCCCCAACCAAGCTAGCCTGGCTAGCGCTCACTTTGCTGCCGATTGGTTTGGTGACCTCCAAATATGCAGGGATCCACAGATGTTTCACAGATCCCAAGACTGGTTTTCCCCTCCCTGTACGTTAACCCTTTGTAGGGGGCACCATCAGTAATCAGCGATACACTTCCAACCCTGATGATCAGTGAGACTTTTGAAGCCGTCTCTGCAGTACAAGAGTAGAAACTGATGTTTCCCTTCAGTGAAAGTTAAAACCAGCTTCACATTTAGAGCCCCAAAATCAGGCAGACAAGTGAGCTCTGCAGGTGCCAGGGACTGGCTCTGTCCAAATGCGATTTTCTCTCTAAATAAACAGGCCATGCAGATGCCAAACCTGAGATGATAACCAAGCTTGAACGAGGGGAAGAGCTGTGTGTCGGGGACCAGCAGGCCCCGGAGGGGAGAGAAATTCTTCCAAGTGCTTCCAGGGGTGAGTATTCCCAATGACTGCTTATACCCAGCTCTGTCAGCCCTGCCAGCTCAGCCTGGGACTTTCCCTGAGCTACAATATCAGGATTTGGGCTGTTGAAGTTAATGCAAGGTTTGCCTGCGTTGAGACAGACCAGAACCTGAGAAGTGAATCCAGAGCGCAGCCCGTTATAAACTGGGAGTTTTCATCAAGATTAGTGCAGTAAAAGCAGCATTCTATAAATGAACCTCTGCCCCTTGTAGGACCTTGGTACCTAAACACCATGGAGACTGGCTGGGGTAACAGTCTTTTCCTACTGCCTGCTAACGTGATTCGTCTAGTAGCTCGGGTGGGAGACGTTAGGTAGCAGTGCTAACAGCTCGGGGTTCACACCTGACTGAAGATGCATAATAGAGTGGGGGGGGTTGCTGCAGTTGAACAGAATATCATTGTTTTTTTTCCCTGTTGCCATTTAAAAAATAACTAGGAAATTTCATTACAAAATCCATGTTAAAATAGCGTTATTTGGGTTGCAGAGTCAGACACTCCAAAGCTAGGAAATGCCAAATTTATGTTTACCCGTGCAACTTAAATTCAGCCCCTTTTGTATCATTAAGATCTTTAATTACATGATCACATATTGGTTTTGCACAGGACCCTGGCCTTATTCAGTGCACAGGACATCTGTCAATCTGAATTTTCCAACATTCTGATGCTTGGCTTTGCCACCTAAATAACGTTCCTTTAATGCAGTTGTTCTGCATGGAATATGTATGAATTTTACCTTGAGAGTGTCTGTAACTTGACCTTTCACAGTGGTTAGACAGGTAATTCCCACCTCATCATGATACAGATTTCTAATATGAAGCCTATCATCTGTGCAGAATTTCTCTGTAATTTTCCATCGGCAAATTGGTCCAGGAAGAAAACTAAAAGGGAGTCGGACTTGGAAGAATGTCATGGAAATCCAGATGTTCAAGGGACCTCATCAAAAAAGTTCAAAGAGAAAGTTTTGTGCAAACAAACCAGAAGATCCAGCAAACTCACCAGTGACCCTGATCTCCAGAGCTGCGGCACAAAAGAGAAGCTGCTGAAATGTACGGAGTGTGGGAAAAGCTTCACCAGGAGGCAGAATCTGAGCACGCACAAGAGAATCCACACTGGAGAGAGACCTTACGAGTGCAGCGAATGTGGGAAGAGGTTCAGCCGCATGCAGCACCTCGTGTCACACCAGCGAATCCACACAGGAGAGCGACCGTACGAGTGCACCGAGTGCGGGAAGAGCTTCAGCCAGAAGTCCAACCTTCTCACGCACCAGACCATCCACACGGGGGAGAGGCCCTTTAAATGCACGGAATGTGGGAAAAGGTTCAGCCAGAGAGTCTACCTGACCCAGCACCAGAAAACCCACACAGGAGAGAAGCCGCATAAATGCATGGAGTGCGGGAAGAGTTTCATCCAGAGGAAGGTGCTCCTGACGCACCAGAAAAGTCATGCCGGGGAGGGAGGGCTGTACCTATGTGCCGACTGTGGGAAATGCTTCACCACACGGCCAGGACTGAGGTATCACCAGAGAATCCACACCGGGGAGCGGCCGTACCCCTGTGCCCTGTGCGGGAAAGGTTTCGCCACCAATTCCCGCCTGAAATATCATCAGCGGATCCATTCGGGAGAGAGGCCTTATCAGTGCAGCGACTGTGACAAACGCTTCCGGCACAAGTCGGCTCTGGCCTCCCACCAGGGCATCCACACCGGCGAGAGGCCTTACAAATGCACCGAGTGCGGGAGCAGCTTCCGCCGCCGGAACGGGCTTGTCAAGCACCAGAGGATCCACACAGGGGAGCGACCCTACCCATGCGCGGAGTGCGGGAAGAGCTTCAGCACGAGGAGCACACTCACCGATCATCAGAGGACCCACACCGGGGAGAGACCCTACAACTGCAGCCACTGCGGGAAAAGCTTCAACCGGGTCTCGCAGCGCCGGAAACACCAGAGAATCCACACGAAAAAGCGACCGGAATGTGCCGAGTGTGGGAAAAGTTTCCGGAGTGAGAAGGAGCTCGCCACGCACCAGAGGGTCCACACTGGAGAGAAGCCATACCAGTGTCCCCAGTGCCAGAGGCTCTACCATCGGAAGAACGAACTGGCCAAGCACCTGAAAAGCCATGTGGGGATGAAGCCATAACCTCGGGCTTATGGAAGGTGGGTGTGGACAGACCCACACCAGACACGTACCAGCCCTCCAGGCCCAGCACTGCTCCATTCCAGGAGTGTCTCGAGGAGACGTATCTGTGAGGTTAGGAATGTGGGGAGGGAGAGGGAGTGGTCTTGCGAGGGCAGGGTGTGGTCAGGGAAGTATCTCCCTACTGCTGTCCCTGTTCAGGGCCTGAGCCGGGATTCCAAGGGGCAGGCGGGGCTGGAAAACCCTCTTTCACCAGACCCACAGAGCAAGGCAGTCCGGGAATTGTAGGCTCCAGAGAGGCCAGGACTGTAATAGGCCTGTTGAGAAAGGGCTGGGTTGGGGTATATAAGAATCTACCTTCCCTCAAATGCAGGAGAGACTCAGAGGGAGCCAGGAGGGGTCTCTGAGAAGAAGGGGCAGCTTATCTATCGTTTGGTTTGGTTTGCTCATTTTACAGAGACAGAACTTTTGATTTAGGGGTTGTCTACACACAAGTTTACACCAATTTAGGTAAGTCAGAACAAACCCCTGTGTGGACACTCTTACTTCAGTTTATTTGAGCATAGATTAAATCTGTTCCTGGCCAATTTAACATAAATGAAGTAAACCTGGTTTAAAGAGAGAGAAAAGTGTTCACATGGTTTTTTAGACCTTTTAATTAAAGAGGATCAATATCAGACCCTCTGTCAAACTGGTGCAACTGAGCATGTAAATGTTTGGGATTTGAAATGACTGTGGGACATCCCCTACCTCAAGGGGGACTGTCCTAATTCCAGAAAGATCGGGGAATGAAAAGCCCTGAACCGCAGATTGGGGTAAGGGAAAGGTGTTTTGTTTTAGAGGGGACCATGGCCATGGCTCCTTGTTTGGTTTAGCGGGGTAACTGTATGATAGCAGTGCCCCAGCTCTGGCCTCCTGTGGCTCTGCTAAAGTTAAGGCGGAGAACTCCTTTCTCTTTAAATGTTGGCTCTTCTGAGTGCTGTAACTTGAATTGCTTGGAAAGATACATACGCAACCAGGTGGGGAAAGTTTCCCTCCGAAGTCAAATCTTGCACAGCCCCTGAAAATTCCCACAAGAAATGGCTGCTTTGTAATAAACATGCTCTGCTTCAACCACAAAATACAGGCTTGGTGCAGGAATTACGGGGTGGGGTTCTGTGGCCTGGCTGTGCAGGAGGCCAGACTAGATGATCACAAGGGTCCCTTGTGGCCTTAAAATCCACGACTATACCTTTAGCTGTGTGGTTTGTGCAGAAGGAGGAGAACCCTGAGTAACTGTCTGTACCACACAGACCCCTGCAATAGCCACAGTGCCAGGCCTTGCAGTGGGTGGGACAGGCAGCCTCCACCTGCCAAACCTCATATAGCAGGGCTACCGAATCAAGGCCTAATACTGCACTGGATGCAAAGTCAGAGTGTCAGGCTAGGGAGCTCCCCAGATTGCAGGTAGAAGCCAGGGATGCTGAATATCAGTAACTGAATGTGTCAGCAGCTGGAACGGAGAGTGGGGAGGAAAAATCAAACCGCAGAGCACAATGGGGTTGGCAATTGCAGCTGTTGAGAACCTGCTCTCGGAACAAGCTGTGTGCTAAGCAGTTGCATGGAAAACAGCCCGTCTGTAATATTCAGCTGGCTGGGGTCCTAGGGATGCTCTGGTCTCTGGCTGTAAAACAAAATGTCCTAGAGCGAAATGGGAGAGCTACAGAGACAAAGAGTTGCTCCCAGCAACAGCTCAGGGGAAGTGAGATCAGACCACCGACGTGAATAAGAACGGACACACTGAGTCAGACCAAAGTATCCATCTAGCCCAGTATCCTGTCTTCTGACAGTGGCCAGTGTCAGGTGCCCCAGAGGGAATGAACAGAACAGATAATCACCAAGTGATCCATTCCTTGTTGCCCATTCCCAGCTTCTGGCAAACAGAGGCTAGGGACACCATCTCTGCCCATCCTGGCTAATAGCTGTTGATGGACCTATCCTCCAGGAATTTATCTAGTTCTTTTTTGAACCCTGCAGAGTGAAGGGATTGTGTTATTATTTTGTAGGGTACCATGTTGACTGGTAAAGATCGTAGAGATGCTGGGGGCATCCATGCCCACAAGCCCCTGAAGATGCAGACACTTGGCCCTTCTTGTATTGAGCAGTGTAACTTACCTATGGCTGTGGGGGCCGCTCCTCTGTGTTCTGCAGGGAGGCACGGGAGATGAGTACACTTGGTGCCTCTCTTCCCCAGCTGAGAAAAATCACCCCAACTCCCCCTAGCACCCAAACACCTTGCTGACCCCATCTCCCTACACAGAGTCTCTCCATGCAAAGCCAATTGCTTCCTGGCCGGCCCAAGGGAGCCACCTCCTGCTGGGTCCCAGCCTGAAGACACGCTCAGGATCGGGCGGCAGGACGGTGGTTCAGGGCAAGGCAGGAGGGTGGAATCCTACTAGGGAGGGAGGTTTTGCTGAGACTCCCACCCGCATTTCCCAGCAGCCAGGAATCCTCCCATTCCCTGCTCCAGCATGGCAGTCCCAGCCTTTAACATAAGAATGGCCATACTGGGTCAGACCAAAGGTCCATCTAGCCCAGTATCCTGTCTCTGACAGCGGCCAGTGCCAGGTGCCCCAGAGGGAATGAACAGACCAGGTAATCATCAAGTGATACATCCCATCGCCCATTTCCAGCTTCTGGGAAACAGAAGCTAGCGACACCATCCTGCCCATCCTAGCCATTGATGGACCTATCCTCCATGAATTTATCTAGTTCTTTTTTGAACCCTGTTATAGTCTTGGACATCACAACATCCTCTGGCAAGGAGTTCCACAGGTTGTATGAAGAAATACTTCCTTTTGTTTGTTTTAAACCTGCTGCCTATTAATTTCATTTGGTCAACTTTGTCAACTCATCCACCAATATTAACCATTTCCCTGGTGCCAGCCTCGTTTCCAAGGGTTACAGTGTGTTCTTCTGATCTGCTCAGTGGCTGCTCATTAGATACAGCAATGCTATGACTGATATCCGGGTGTCTCACAGTGAAGGGGAGCCAGGTCCGGGTATAAAGCTCGCCTGGAAAAGGCTGTTTCTGCAGCTCTGCTGCTGTGTCCCTCTGTGACTGGGCAAGTCACTTCCCTTCTCGCTCCGTTTCACCTCTGAAATAGGGACTCTCGCGCTGACTTAGTGCAGAGGCTTCTGTGGGGGATAAAGTTTGTCTGATGCCTGGGAAGAGGTCAAGTGTTAAAGAGCTCTGATAATGAAACAAGTTCAGCTGTTCTAACTGGAGGCAAGAGGATGAACGTGAACTTGGACCAGGCAGCTGTAGAGGAGCTAAATATTTACTACTATTAAGCTTCTCTCGCTTTCTTTGCTGGGCATTTGGTTTTGTTCCACCACGAGGCTGCAGCCTGACGTTGCTGAGTGGAAAGCCTCGAAATGCATTTCCCTTTGAGGATCAAAATGTGCCCACAGTTGGTAGGTCAAAATCAGCTCCCACCGCCCTCCGAAAGCACCTGCCAGACAGCTAAGAATTGAAGAGCTGTGCGTGGCTGGAAAGCTTGTCTCCCCAATAGCAGCTGGTCCAACAAAAGATATTACCTCCCCCACCTTGTCTCTCTAATCTCCTGGGACCAACACGGCTACAACAACCCTGCCATCAAGGCAGTTCTGTTCTATATACAGGGACAGCGCTGGGGGGGGCTAGTGTCAACCCAAAATTTGCCTTAGCCCTCCCAGAGCCACCCCTCCCAGAGCTGGGCGCCCAGCCAGCAGCTGCCACCATCTCTGGCCACCCAGCTCCCGCCGCCAGGGCAGTCTCCCCTTCTGTGAGAAGCTGATCCATGGCTAGTGTGGCACTGGGGGAGCTTGCCCAATGCTAGAAGTGGGCATTCCCAGGTCGGTCTCTGCTGAGCGGGGAGGCTGAAGGGGGCCTCTGGCTCAGGAGTGGGAGCTGCAGCTGCTTCTGTACTGAACAAGCACTCGGGCTCCTGAGGGCTTGAGTTAAAGACACACTCACACCACACACAGTCTCCCTCTCAGACAGTCTCCCGTACGCACTCCCCCAACACACACACTTTCTCCCTCCCTCCCTCTCTCTCTCTCTCTCTCTCTCACACACACACTCCCTGCAACACACACCATTTCTCTCGCCCTCACACCCTTGTATTGTTGTTACTTCTTGGTACTTCCTGTTGAAATGCGCAAGGCACATATATTCTCTGTCCTTTTATCTGTCAGAGTTCGTTAAGGATCACAGTGCTGTTATTTTAGTTTTTGGACTGGTCTGTGCATTTCCTAATTTTATTTCTCTCTTATGCTTAAGTTTAATTCTTTGAGTAGTGAGTGCTAAAATGCCTAGCTTGTCCTGGCTGGAGTAATTATCATGGTTACATATTGTGCTTTGTCATTTATTATTTGAAGCGGTACAGTCAAATAACAGTATCCGTCGAGAATGTAAATTTAGCTTGTACTCACCTTAGCAATGCCAGTTTAAAAAAAAAGCTGAACACAGAATTTCAGACACTGGGCAGATGAAGGTCGCTTATTTTCAAATTGTATTTTTATTATATCTGTAAAATAATTTAATACGTATGAAAATAAATGCGGTACCAAGTCCGCTACTAATAGTAAGGACAGAGTCAAATGTTAGTGAGTCACATACATGATTGTGCTCGGTAAATGTAAATGCTGAATTTATCCAAAAAATAAATTTCTGTTAATAAAAGAGAAACTTAACCACATGTTAAAATTATGTAAATATGTTTATAGTGGAGTGAGAAACAATTGACTAAAATAGAGGAGATAATGGCAGTAACACAGAGTGAGTCTGTTAGAGAAAGTAAGCAGATTTTAAGCAAATTTTATTTATTTTTATTTATCTCTACTATCGATAGTGTACAAAGTAACAAACGTGTGTTTCTGAGACCTGTGTTAAGGCTCCAAAATTGACACCTCAAGGTTTGCGATTGGGAATATCTTGCTGTATTATCTCCTGATTGTTTTAAACTTACATATAAACTTAAAATGTGGCTTTAATTGGTGTTTGTATATATATTTTCTTTCTTTATATAGGAATTAGATGCAGGGCTCCTGTCAGCTAATTTCTAATTATGATCTGCAAAAAAACGTACAGTTTTCAGGTGCCTAAGTAGCCCTTGGAATCATGGTTAAAGTTGTGAGACACCACCCCGCCCCCGGCAAAATCTGAAGTGGTGCCCCTGTGAGGAGGGCCATGCAGGTTTGTGGAATTTAGGAAAAAAGGTACAAAATTTGGGGATACGCATAAAGTTACGGGATGGTGAACACTGCGTTATGGGAAGTTGATCCCATGCTCCCAATCACCTCTGTGTGACCCATTTGGGCCCCAGCATGTGTTCCCAAAATACAGTGCAGTGGACGGGGGCGAGTTGCACAGTGAGATATGTACCCACGATGCACCGCACTCTGAATCAAAACAAGCGCTCCTGGTGCGTACGCTCACCGCTGACACAGGGAGTCAAGTAGGAGAGCACTTCAGTCTCCCTGGACACTCAATAACAGACTTAAAAGTGGCCGTTCTTCAACAAAAAAACTTCAAAACCAGACTTCAACGAGAAACGGCTGAACTGGAATTAAATTGCAAACTGGACACCATCAAATTAGGCCTGAATAAAGACTGGGAGTCACTGGGTCACTTCAAAAAAATAATTTCCCCTTTGTTGACACTCACACATTCTTGTTAACTGTTAAGAATGGGTCACATGCACCCTAATTGAATTGGCCTCGTTAGCACTGACCTCCCACTTGGTAAGGCAACTCCCATCTTTTCATGTGCTATATATTTATACCTGCCTACTGTGTTTTCCACTCCATGCATCTGATAAAGTGACCTGTAGCTCACGAAAGCTTATGCCCAAATAAATTTGTTAGTCTCTAAGTTGCCACAAGGACTCCTCGTTTTTGCTGATACAGACTCACATGGCTGCCACTCTGAATACTAACTGGCAACTGTATGCTGACATAACTTGAGTTAACATAAGTTTGTAGTGTAGATATGGCCTTAGATATATGAATTGTGCGGGAGAGGTAACAGCAAAAGTATGAGGGGTTTAGGCTCCTACTTTTGTGGATCTGGACCTACTGCAGCCGAAAGGCTCAGGAACAAAAGGGCACATAAAGAGAATCCCATAGCATTTATTTGTTTTTAAAATTTCATGACTTGGGGGTGTAAACTCATGATTTTTGAATTTGTGTGGTTGTCAAGCAATCTGGGGGCTGTAGATGTGTGTTCATTATGTTGTAAAGGCCAAAACTATAACTGGGTTCAAAAAAGAATTAATTAGTTCCTGGAGGAAAGGACCATCAATGGCTATTAGCCAAGATGGTTAGGGATACAACTCAATGCTCTGGGTGGCCCTAGCCTCTGACTCCCAGAAGCTGGGACTGGAGAACAGGGGATGGATCACTCAGTAATTGCCCTGTTCTGTTCATTCCCTCTGAAACACATGGCACTGGCCACAATCAGAAGACAGGACACTGAGCTAGACAGACCATTGGTCTGACCAGTATGGCCACTCTTATGTACAGTAAAAATTACAGTAGATTTTTGCCTTTGAGAAGGATTTAATATGAGATAGTATGCTGCCCTTAATGAATATTTGGGAACCAGGTTCGACACATGTGAAAAAGCACTAAGGGCTGGATTGAGAGGCAAAATAAGAGTTGAGAAAGGCACTCCCCATTGGTAGATGAAATGAAAATGAAGACGTTTTGACACCAGGCCAGGAAAGCTGTCAGACTGGAAATCCCACGCTCCACCAGAATACATTTGTGCTAGAAAAAGAAAAATGTTGAATTAAAATTTCCAAATGAAAAATCACAGCACACTCTAGGAAGTGCACTATGAGAAAGGCAGCTGTCATTGCTAAAATGACTAGCAGCTATTCACTTACCTTTTCAATGATTATTTGCTATTAAGCTATAAATTAACTAGCACAACGGTATCCATCTGCACAACGTTGACAAAGGTAAACGATGAAGCGCGAAGAGTAATAAAAACATTTTAAAAAGTAAATTAGAAGGAGCAAAACTATATTTAAAATTCATTACAAGGAAGTGCAATTCAGGGAATCAGCAGCGGATAAGACACATTTGTGAACTGCTAGGAGATGTTATGCAGATATAGAGTTAGTCCTTAGCAGAGGTAAGCGCAGGTGGGGGGGGGGCGAGAGCAGCCCCCGGCCCATGTCCCAACCCGCAAGGGCATACTGCCCAGGGCAGGTGGCGGGTCCGGGGCTCCCTACAGTGGCCCAGATTGACCTGCTCCAGCCCATGCTCCTGGGCCATGCCCCCCCTGTTGTCACTACTCCCTGTGCCTTGGAGCCAGGTCCCCCCTGCCCAGACAAAGCTTACGGACCGCAAGCAGTTGAAAGGTGGTGGAAGCTGAGGAGCAGCTGCAGCCCTCAGCAGCAGCAGGAGGAGATGGGAGCACCACAGCTGCCCGCTCCATAGAGTCATCATAGAAGATCAGGGTTGGAAGGGACCTCAGGAGGTCATCTAGTCCAACCCCCTGCTCAAAGCAGGGCCAATCCCCAATTTTTGCCCCAGATCCCTAAATGGCCCCCTCAAGGATTGAACTCACAACCCTGGGTTTAGCAGACCAATGTTCAAACCACTGAGCTATTCCCCCTGCCCCCTAGAATCGTAGGACTGGAAGGGAACTCGAGAGGTCATCTACTCCAGTCCCTTGCACTCACAGCAGGACTAAGTATTATCTAGACCATCCCTGACACCCAGGTGTTTGTCCAACCTGTTCTTTAAAATCCCCAGTGAGGGAGATTCCACAACCTCCCTAGGCAATTTATTCCAGTGCCTAACCACCCTGACAGGTAGGAAGTTTTTCCTAATGTCCAACCTAAATCGCCCTTGCTGCAATTTAAGCCCATTGCGTCTTGTCCTGTCCTCAGAGGTTAAGGAGAACAATTCTTCTCCCTCTTTCTTGTAACAACCTTTTACGTACTTGAAAACGGTTATCATGTCCCCCCTCAGTCGTCTCCTTTCCAGACTAAACACACCCACATTTTTCAATCTTCCCTCATAGGTCATGTTTTCTAGACCTTTAATCATTTTTGTTGCTCTTCTCTGGACTATCTCCAATTTGTCCACATCCTTCCTGCAATGTGGTGCCCAGAATTGGACACAGTACTCCAGTTGAGGCCTAATCAGCATGGAGCAGAGCAAAAGAATTACTTCTCACGTCTTGCTTGCAACACTCCTGCTAATACATCCCAGAATGTTTGCTTTTTTTGCAACTCATATTTAGCTTGTGATCCACTATGACCCCCAGATCCCTTTCTGCAGTACTCCTTCCTGGGCAGTGATTTCCCATTCTGTATGTGTGCAACTGACTGTTCCTCCCTACATGAAGGACTTTGCATTTGTCCTTACTGAATTTCATCCTATTTACTTCAGAGCATTTCTCCAGATCATTTTGAATTTTAATCCTATCCTCCAAAGCACTCGCAACCCCTCCCAGCTTGGTATCATCTGCAAACTTTATAAGTGTACTCTCTATGCCGTGATCTAAATCACTGATGAAGATGTTGAACAGAACCGGACCCAGAACTGATCCCTGCGGGACCACACTCGCTATGGCCCTTCCAGCATGACTGCGAACCACTGATGACTACTCTCGGGGGATGGTTTTCCAACCAGTCATGCACCCACTTTATTGTAGCTCCATCGAGGTTGAACGCCATTATCCTTATTGTGCTGTTTCCCCTCCTACCATTCAAGCTGTTCTCTCCCTCTCCGTGCTGTAAGTCCGGGGAAGCCACCCTGTATTCTTCACACCACAGAGAAAGGTTGACTCCAACTGGGACACTGGCAGCCCCGGTGCCAGCTCATGCCAAGGCCCCTAGGCCCCAGCTGAACACTGACCGTGCAAAGCTAGAAACCAGGCTGGCTCCCTGGTGTGTCACTGTTGTTCAAGCAGATGTTAAGCTTCTAAGAATGTGTTTAGACTTTATGAAACGCTTGTCGGATGCTGCAGGTATTGATCTCCCTGCGCAGCAGCCCGTGTCCTACGGTGATCGTGTTTGCATTGTAAACCTCTGCCACGGTCAGTCACCACACAGGAAAGCAGCATTACCTGATGGCAGCTGCAGGGTTCTACAGGTGATGCTCGGTCCTGCCCACCACGGAGGCCCATTGAAACCAAATGAGTCATTGTGAAATATGAACACTGACTTTAATTGCTTTCCTCCCCCCCCCCGCCCCCACCAAGAGGAAACCTGCGTGTGAATGATCCCAGCAGCTTGGACTCTGGGGAGAAGGGAATAAAAAGCCCCACCCAGGAGAACTTGGGATCCCCCAGCTGCTTGAGATTGGGGAGGGCAAAAATTTCTAAGCATGAGGAACGGAGCCCCGACTGTGTTATCTGGGTTAGCCCTAAAAAATGTCTAGCACTGCCATATTACAGCAGCGTTATCACCTCCTGAAACCTAGGACCGGAACTCATTTGTGCGTGCATGTTTACCTGCTTTAACCGTGTAAATAACGCCCATTTCTTTTCCTTACTTAATAAAGCTCTAGGTAGTTTACTCTAGGATTGGCTACAAGCCTTGTCTTCGGTGTGAGATCTAAAGTGCAATTGACCTGGGTGAAGTGACTGGTCCTTTGGGACTAGGAATAACCTGAATATTGTTGTGATTTTTGGTGTAAGTGACCATCTTTCACACAGGCAAGCTTGCTTGGGTGGCAAGACAGACCAGAGTACCCAAGGGGACTGTTTGAAACTCCATGGTAAGACTGTTACAGTACGTGAGGAATTTATACTTGGTTGGTGAAACCTAAGTATAGAACTCACAGCCAACTTGGAGTTTGTGCCCGGGTTTTTAATGGTCTGCCTTGAGGTTGGTACTCACGCCCCTCCAGAAAGCTTAACGTAAAGCAGATTCCCTGCTGTATGTCGAATACAGGGTAAGGTCGAAACCAACTTTCAGTGAAAAACTCAAAGTAAAACCAGTATCAGCAAGACCTACAGCAGACTGGTTACAAGCTGTCTTCAACCTAAACTTTGAGCTGCCCATTTACTCATTGACTTGAATGGGGATGGACGGTCAAAAGCAAAAAGCTCCAGAAATTCCCTTAGCATATTCAGTGTCACGTGATCTATACCACCAGTTTTGCAGAGATAGCCACACGTTTGGGGCCTACCAGAGCGCTACTGGTACCAGAGGCCCGCTACCCCCTCTCCTTAGGGATGTGCCTCTGTGCAGGAGCCGTGGCACCCACACTGCTGCCCACCCCCCAGCACTGTGATCATGAGCCTGGGGCCAGGAGCAGCTCAACTTCCTTGCAGGTCGGAGGCGAATGGGAGGCAGCAGACAGGGGCTGGTATTCTGCCGCTGGTACCTGATAGCTCCCCCCAAAGGTTGGGAGATGTTGCTGTAAGTTCATCGTGGCCTGCCTGGTTGAGCATTTCTACCCCTCCTGGTGCAAATGTTCTCTCCTCACTAGCCCCAGGCTTCAGCCTTGCACAGCAGCACCTGCTGCGTACGATCAATCCACTGAAACTCAATTGGCACGACGAGTCATGATACAAGTGTTGCCGAAGCACAAGAAGAAGAAAAAAAAAAAGTACAGGCCCCTCGCCTGTCTCTCGGGGAGGATACAATACACCCAGGATAGAGTAACTGTCCATGGCCATGTGATTCTCACCGGGAGCTGGATTACACGGGTATTACACCACTATAGCTCTGCCTGTCAACTTTGCCATGGAGACAAGTCCTTACCCTGCGCCCCTCCTTAGAGCGATTCGCGATAAACCTGGGAAAGCAGCATCTCAGCTGCACAAGGACAGAGAAGAGCCGGGTGGGAAATGGAAGCATTTATCAGGGGGCTGAAGATTTGGTTTTCGAAATACTCGTGGAGCTGTCCAATCCCTTGGATGAAGCAGGAGTGTAAAAAACCACTGCCTGGGGGAAAGGGCTACTTGATGTTATTGTTCATTGCCAAGTTCTAGGTCCAGTGTCTGGTTCTTTTGACAAAGTAGAAAATAAAACAGGCCCCGGAGCTTTCCCATTCCCAAGTGCTTTTTGTCCAAACATTTCAAAATGCTTCATTAAGTCTCACTACCCTGCTTTCAAGCAGCTGAGTTTTACTCTGGCTGCAGCTGGGGAAAGTGGAGCACAAAGAGATTAAGCGGCTGGCCAGGGTCCCACACACAAATACCTGGGGCGTCCTGACCCCCACTCCAAGTCCCTCTTTCCTTCCTTGTGGAAAAAATGGCAGTCCAGAATGTCCAGACTGGACTGACCCTCATAGTAAAGACTTGACAGCAAAGCGCCGAGGGGCTCTGGCAGATATCCTGGGGAAGGAGTTCCCCGAGTGAGGTCCCTGGCCAGAAAAGACCCTACCCTCAGCCCCTTTCAGAGGGAAAGTCAGGCCAGACAGCACGTACCACCCTGCTGAGTTTAACTGCCCTAGCGGGCCAGAGGGGCGCAGTCATGGGATTAGTAGAGTGGTTGGCACGGGGGGGGGGGGGGGTACAGTGGCACAGGTGATGCACAGCAACTCCCTGGAGTTTCACCATCATTTTGATCAGAGCGACAGACCCCAGTGGAAGCTCTCCTGGGCCCCTGATGGACTCAGACCTATGACCTGCATTTCCCCTGTGCCTTGAGCCAGTCAGAGCCCTCTTTCATTTAGGTGAGGGTCACTTAGCCCCACGGGTTTTTTGCTTTTTGTCCCACGCCCCAGTATCCCCGTAAAACCGTATTTATCAAAAGTCAGTCTCTGAATCTTCAGTCCTCGACTCGGACCCCTAGACACACTGTCCCCACAAGTACAGGGACTACTTGTGCTGCCACCAATGGGGGGCCGGGGGGAGGCTGAGTTAAGGGGGCCAAGGAGAGTCGACACAGCTGAGCTCCCAAGGAGCGCAGAACAGACCCAAGAAGCCAGACCCAGCAAACCTGATTCAGAACCCCCCAGCCCCCGCCACAGAAAGGCCACGTGGAGAGCAGTCAGCTGAGGGTTACTCTAGGATTCCCCCCTTTTGTTTCGGTTCGGTGTCAGCCCATTCTGACAGAACACGGATACCACCCAAAGCGTCAAGCCACCCCAGCTACGCGGATTGCTCTTCCGGTCCACCGCCAACTTCCTCAGGGCGGAACGAGCCAAGAATACCTAGCTCAAATGCACTTTGCGCTCAAGTGCTAGATAACCCTCCTAACCCCCAACCCCCGCAGGAGGTGGGAACCTGCTATCAGCTCTGCGACTGACCGATCAGGAAATAGTAAGCGATCTCCCCAAAGCCCCCAAGGGAGTCAGCCTCAGAACGCAGCAGCTCAGGGCTCCTAAGCCATTGCTCACAACATACCTGCCTCTGTGGCTACAACATTCTGGGAGCTCTGCTCGCTGAAGCTAGGTCTACTCTATGAGCGAGGGGCACGAGTCTCCTGCTTGTGCATGCACACTCGTGCTTGCTCGCACCAAGCTTGCACACGTATCAATAGCCACGGGTAGCGGGGACGCGGCTGAGCCCTGCAGAACACAGACCCGCTGCTTTCAGGCGCGTTTGTGACCGGCCCGACTCAGTCGTGCCACCCGGGCTGCTGCAGCCACCCAGCTAGTGATACCTGTGCTCGCTCGCTGAGCGCTCGCGCACGCCGGGGCACCCCAGCCCTGGCTCCTAGCGCAGGCAGAACCTCGGGGGGAACTCGCCTCTGCTCCCGCTGGCTGAAGTGGGATTTGAGTGGTGCATAGGCCATCTGCGTGGGCTGAATTTCCCCCGCAATTCTCTCACTTTTAGACGTGCTGGACAAAATTCAGCCACAACTCCTGTTGAGGGCAGTCTATTTATTGGCCCTCTCCCACACGTTCCAGGCTTGCACTGCACCTGTGGAGGTCAGGGATCCTCCAATGCCTGCTCTCTCCTCTGCCCACCTCCCCTGCTGGTGGTCAGAGCTGACCTCTCACTTGCACCCGACTTGTGCATCTTCTGGAAAAGAAATCCAGGGTGCTGGGCGCTGAGCCCCTCCCAGGCGGTCCTGCATGCTCTCCCTGGCACCGGCGGGTGGGCAGAATGCTCAGCGCCATGAGGAGCCCAGCCCCCCATCTTTATATGGCTCTTCTTCACGTGGTGTCTGCCCGCCTCCCAGCTTCATCCCACGAGCTCAGCATCGCAGGGGCTGCCTCTTGTAACAGGCCCTCAGGACCGAGAGATCCTGTTCCATGAGGCTCCCTCTGCACCTGCTGGGACAAGGAGCTTTCTTCAGCCTATCTGGGGTTACTGGGTGTGTTTCCACTTGACCCTTTAGGGTGCTCCATGATGGGTGCTATGAAAGAAACAAAACCCGTCTGTACCCCCTGGTCGGGTCTTGTCTCCAGATCAATTAGAAACGTACCAAAGTTTCATTGCCTTGAAACAAAGCACAGGGGATGTCCTGCACCCAAGAAGTTTGGCGGGACGACTGGTTGGCATGTCTGCGACACCCCGGCCAACCCGCCTCTTTAAGTAGCAGAATGTACACAAACACTAGCAACTAGTCACCTCCTGTCTATGGTATGAGCCTCAGGGCCAAACAAATCACTGGTGCATTGCCACTGAAGTCAGGAGATTTACATCAGGGATGCCTTTGGCCTATAGATTTGAGGAGGACTCATTCTCAGGAGCACTCCTGAAATTTGCAGGGCGATTACTTGGCGCGTTGTCAAACTCACGTCCTTCCTCTGGGCACCGCTTTGAAGGACAGCCCGATCCTCAGCTGGTGTAAACTCGCATAGCTCCTTTGAGGCCACTGTTGATCCACCGGTTCACACCAGCTGAGGATCTGGCCTTACCTGGGCACCCTCTCTAACAGGAGGTGGGCTGGGTTTGGTTTTCATTTCCGGCTGTTGTACCTGAATCCTGGTTTCTCCCTTCACTGCTCTGCTGCGGATGGTAACTTGATTTTGCAGCTGAAGACGAGAGAGATTCAGCCACCCCAACCACTCCTCCCCTTTTCCCTGGCAGCAAAGCTCCCCCAGGCTTTGCTCAATTTTCTTTCAAAAGGTCCCAGCTTTGGGGCTTCCACAGCTTCCTCTGGGAGACTGTGTCACAGACAAGTAGGTCTCCCTTTCGGAGACTGTTATTCAGCCTACATTTACCATTGCTCCGTTTCAGCCTGTTGTCTCTAGTGAGTCCCCCTTTCCCACACTAGACATTTTTTTCTCCTCCCTTTGGTTATTACTCTGCTCAGTGATTTCCAGTCATACACCCAATTGGTCCATTGATTTGGCCTCTCTCCTGTGTGGGCTCCCTTGTGCTGAACTGTTCATAGAGAGTGACTTTCAGAAACAAGCAGACAGCCTTCCCTGGCTGATCAGAAGTTCATACACCTGAAAGAGTTCCTTCCACTCCTAAGTCCAGAAGGCAGCCAACTTTGAGGAGGAGTTCTCCCCCAGATATGTATTTGTGCGTCTTCCCATATTTAGAAGGGGTAAATGGTTACCCTGGATTTCTTGTGGCTCGTTAGACGTTCACGAAAATTGGGAGCGTCTCCAATATCTTTTGGGTGAGTGAATATCAACAAAAGATTTTCCTGGATTCAGTTCCCAATGATTGAGATGTTCACCTGCCATCTCCTTCCGTATGGGCTATTACCCCAGTGCCTCATTGCCAGGAAAAGGAAAGTTGTCGACCATGACCACCCGGAATGGGAGCTTCCCACTCAGCTCTTCCGCGCACAGGTGAGTTTCCAGGGGACATTGCAGACGCTCACCCTGGGGGAAGATGGGTGCATATCCCTCAGCCACATGTGCTCTGTCCCCATGGTGGGTTCTCTGGTGCAGGAGGAGAGGATGCTTCTGAATGAAGCCCTTTCCACACTGGGTGCACCAGTAAGGTCTCTCTCCCGTGTGAGTCTTATAGTGACGTTTCAGGTTCTCCCCCTTCTGGAAGCTCTTCCCGGACTCCTGTGTGCTTGTGTTGATGCATCTTGAGGGTCCTGACAGCATCCCCACAAAGGATGCAGCCCTAGGGCTTCTCACCAGCGTGCGTCCTCTGGTGCGTCACCAGAGTCTGCTTGTGCCGAAAGCTCTTGCCGCAATCACAGCAGACGAAGAGACTCTCCCCGGTGTGAGTTTGCTGGTGAACTTTCAGCACCCGGTGCGTCCCGAAGCCCTTCCCGCACTCGCTGCACAGGCAGGGCCGCTCGCTCGGGTGGATTCTCCGGTGTGTCACCAGGTGCTGCTTCCGGATGAAGCTTTTCCCGCACTCAGTACAGGGGAACGGGCGCTCCCCCATGTGCGTGTGAAAATGGCGCTTCAGGTTCTCGCTCCTCCGGAAGCCCTTCCCACACTCGCTGCACGTGTGCTTGGCGGGCTTCTGCGTAGCGCGAGTTTGCCGATGCCGTCGGAGCTGCTTGGGCACCGTGAAGCCTTCTCCGCAGTCGCTTGCCCCGGTGTGAGTTCTCACATGCCTCACGAGCGATTGCCGGTGCCTGAAGTTCTTCCCACAAGCCTCACACACGTGGAGCCTCTTTTCCGTGTGGGTTTGCTGGTGAATGCGGAGATCCCCGCGTCTCCGGAAGCTCTTTCCGCACTCACCGCAAGTATGGGGCCGCTCCCCCATGAGGGTCTGCTGGTGCAGCATGAGATGCACGGGCGAGCAAGAGCTGTCCCCGCAGCCAGGACCGCTGTACGGGTTCTCTCCAGCATGGATTCTCTGGTGGACCCTAAGGGTTTGCTTACAGCTGAAACTTCTCCCACCGTCATTACACCTCTGCAGCTCCTGCCCAGTGTGAATGAACTTGAAGAACTCGGAACGTCTGGAAGCTTTCCCTGCCCTCGCTGCAAGGAAACGCCCTCTCCCCCCGGTGGGTGCTCCGGGGTGTTTTAAAGCGGGCAGACGAGCTGAAGCTCCTCCCACACTGGGGGCAGTTATACGGCGCCACCCCTGAATGGGTTCTCTGGTGCGTTACCAGATGGTGCTTTTGGCGGAAGCTCTTTCCACACTCCGGGCAGGGGTAGGGTCTCTCCCCAGTGTGCGTCTGAAAGTGGCGTTTCAGATTCCCATGCTTCTGGAAGCTTTTCCCACATTCGCTACATTTGTGAGGTTTCTCATCTGGGCTGAGCTGCTGTGGATTTGCGGTTTCAACATGCTTTCCTTTCAGGTGGGCTTGATTTAGTTTGTTTCTCCTCCCCACAGCAAGGCTGCCCTGACCAGTGCGGTTTACTCCCTGGATAGAAAAAAGCGAATGATATTCCTTTTCAGAGTCTCTGAGTGGTGTCTCGAGTTGTCCCAGGTTCTCAGCATTTTCCCTATCATCCTCATCCTCCTTCTTTAGGAGCCTGAAATCAGCTGCTGGAATGAAAAAGAAAAAAGTATTCTGGGCATCCACATGTGTTGGTTGCAAAGACCAAATTTGTTACCACCTAACACTTGCTCCCAAGACATTTCATCCCTTGACACACAGGTCTGCTATGCCTGCAGCTCAATATACCGTGGGTAGCAAGTGTGAGCCTGGCCCAATTATGGGGCTGATTCTGCCATTCTTGCATTAAGCACTCCCACTGAAACCAGTGGGACTATGTGGCCCAGGTCAAGATGGGGGCTCTTAACCCAGAGAGCCCAAATTGCAGCTCTCCAGACTGGAGCGCTGGGAGAAGACCCGATCCCAGTTTGACCCCCGGGGGTTTTGGGGTGGCAAAAGGGCACGGGCCACATAAACCTTCCCACATGCAGCCTGCGAGTGCTATCAACCACTCCCAACCTAAGGGAGGGCGTGAAACTGGAAGGGCCTGGTGTAACTCCCACCAAGGAATGGGAGAGATGCTGGGGCATCCATAGGAATGTTGGTGGGTTCGAACTTCCCCAGGTCACTGGCTAAAGTGACCTCACTCAGTTCGGTCTCAAAGGGGGGAGAGATGTGACAAAGAGGGACTGTTCTTAATGTTTCCTCTGAATATTGTGGGGGTGCCTCAGTTTCCCCTAGGCAGCTCTTAAGTATCTAGGTGGTTGGATAAGGGTGAATGATCATTGCAGAGCCCTAGAGGGCAGGGGTGTGCAGGGGTCTGGACACAGAGAATGGCCGACACCCTGTTTCCTGGCAACTGATGGCCTGGCCCTTCCCCCCTGCAAGGTGAGAGCTAAAGGGTTGGAGAACAAAGGGATCAGGTGCCCTCCTGGCCCAGGAAAGGGACAAAGCCCAGAGGAGGAGGGGCTGGAGAGAGTTTCAGTTTGGGGCTGGCTGGGGACATGGAGTGAAGTGCAGACATGGTTGTCTGGCTCACTGCCCCCCAAAATGGACCCGGCTGAGGGGTCCTGTTCTCTGCACCTACAAGCTCTGTGTTAGACCATGTTCCTGTCGTCTAATAAACCTTCTGTGTTCCCGGCTGGCTGTGAGTCACGTCTGACTGTGAAGTTGAGGGGCAGGACCCTCTGGCTTCCCCAGGAGCCCACCTGGGCGGACTCGCTGTGGGAAGCGCACGGAGGGGCAGAGGATGCTGAATGCTCCGAGGTCCGACCCAGGAAGGTGGAAGCCGTGTGAGCTGTGTGTCCTGCAGACAGGCTGCTCACAGAAAGGAGACTTCCCCAGAGTCCTGCCTGGCTTCGTGGGGAGAAATCTTTGGAGTAAGGTGAGATAGGATGACAAATGTGGCTGTACCTTAGAACAATTTTCCAAACAGTGTGTGGTATTGAATTAAGTTTGAAGGTCCATGTAGCTAAGGGCTTCTCTGAAGCAGGCTTCAGGAGAACACTTGCTGTGAAACCTGTTATCTGAACAGGACTCACTCCTGCATGGACCCCTCAGTGAGTTTTCCTGGATACTCTGATCTCAGCCCATTCTGCGTGTGCTCTAACATTCCTTGAATCCTCTACTCCAGCTCCACAATCCATTGGATCTCATCCTCCAGTTAATCTCCCCGAAACAAAAATTCATTCTTTTCACTAAACAGTAAACTCTCCCATGGGCCCCTGGGATTGATAACGGCCTGGATCACTTTCCCAATATAGCCCAGCACGAGTACTCCTCTCTGATGGCTGCTGTTGTCTCCGGTGGTAGCAATCTGTTCACTGTTTCTATGGCCAGGAAGCTATTAAAGTTCCTACTCCCTCGCCGGTAATTCTATTTCTTCCAAATCCTGATGCTCCCAGAGCGATGGCCCTTCCTCCGGATTGTGCAGGGACACAAGAGCAGATCTGGGAACTGGATACCCTGTTCACAAAGACAGGATGACACACCTGTCTGCAAGGTTCTCCTTCCAGCCTATGCTCTATTCCCCTATTCCCCACCCCTGGAGCAAGAGGCTCTCCACAGCGATAGCAATCCACACCCGCATCTGAGCAGCATCACTCGTAGTGGGGCCAGGACTCAGCACTTCAATGTTCATTTGCAAAAGCTCTATGGCTTTTTATGTACCAGGAAAGCTGGGGCTCGGATATTCGTCTCAATCTCTGATCCCATCCAGGAATGTCAAAGCTCCAACACGCAGTCAAAAACAAAGAAAACTGATCTTTACCTAGTGAAATCAGATGATTGTAATTCTCCCTCATCACCTCCTGGTACAGCGCCTTCTGCCATTCTGTCAATTCCTCCCACTCCTCAAGGGTCAAATAGACAGTGACGTCCTCAAATATCACAGGCACCTGAAATCAAGAGGAACATGCGCTCAGCACCTACTGCTGATGCCCTGAGACTCAGCCAGGCAGAGGGAAGTGTTTGTAGAGCGTCTTTATATTCTGCTCTGGATGGTTCATATATGCAGTCTCATTTCTGGACACTTGTAAACTCCCAGGAATAGGAACTGGGTTTTGTACAGAGTCAGTGCTCTCTAATTTATCCGGTGGCATCTGAGCACCTCAACAAAGAGATAAAAAGCCCCAAAGGAGCTTAGAAGTTGTAGTCTGAACTTTACTGCTGCTACATGGTTTCCTCATTGCTCCATCTCTACACACACAGGCCTCTCCTCCACTCTTCCTGGACATCTGGAGCTCTTAGTCTCACACAGTGCATTGGCCAATCACTTGCTACAGGCCCCTTCTGACCAATCAGAACCTCCAGAGCAACGTCCGGTCAGTGACATAGGAGCTTGCATGAGAGAAAAGTAAAGTCCTGATTGGTTGGAGGCACTTTACTATCCAGAGGTTTTGTCTGTTGAGTAGATAGTTCTGCACCCAGCCCTTCGGAGCCCCAATTAGTGGGTTATTCCTTACAGTGCATTGAATCCATCTCCTCTATAAACTGCGCATATAGAATCTCCACACCTAATCGGAGATTACGGCTTCTCGCTGAAACACGTCTGCATGTTCTGTCTCACAGCGGGCTTGGTCCAAAGCCTACTGAAGTCAATGCAAGTCTTTCTAGGACTCCAGTGGGCTTTCAATGAGGCCCGAGACCCTCGCATCTTTTCCCTGCTCTTCGCAGCCCTGAACTCGATCCTTTTTTTGGAACATGTTGGGGTGATACTGACGTTTATTTTTGTCTTTTAAGGGTTGGGTGAGGGAGGCCCAGTGTTTACAGCACCAGCGTCCCTGCATTTTAGAACACGAGCAGCTGGCTGCAGGCTATGAAGTGCTGTAGCCCCGTTACACAGTTGCCAATTTTCACACGGTAAATAAGCACCCCGACTTCCACAATAAGCCAAAAAAATCAAGCTAATCCCACTTCAAAACAAGGCCAGAACAAGCCAATCCCTAAGAACCCCAACACGCTATGTGACTGGATCCCCCCGGCCTGCGGTCTGGGTCCGTGCTGGGCCCGCTGCGCGCCCCTGACTCTCTCCCCGCTTGCCCTTGCTTGCTGGGAACCAATCGAAAACAATGACACAACTAGCTACAAGCCAAACAAGCAAAAAACTAGCCAACAAGCAACTCACAAGCCAATTAAGCCAAAAACAAGCCCAAATATCCTGCGTTTTTTTCACGGGTTTGGCATGTCTGCCCTGTCAGTGCCAGAAGATTAGGGAGACAAGGTGGGGGAGGTCAGATCTTTAACTGGAGCCGCTTCTGTTGGGGAGAGAGCCCAGCGGCTCCAGTAAGGGAGACGCCCTCACCCACCTTGTCTCTCTGGCCAGCCAACAGAGGGGGAAGCGCAGAAGGGTTGAGCGTTACCCCTGCAGGGGCCCGGGGACACGCTGCATGGAACGAGCGCCCTAGGCGGGCTCTTGGCTCCGATCTCGGGCCCCGATCCTGCCGCGTCGGCGAGCCCCCGTGCTGGGCGAAGCCCCCCTGATTGCAGGATCCGGGCGGCGCGGGGCCTTCAGAGCCTGCGGGAGTGGGGCCGGGGGAACCCACCCCCTGCCCTGCCGCGGTGGGGGGGGGGGTGCCTCTGCCTGGGACCAGCTGAGGGCAGCCCTCGGAATCCCCCGTTCACAACCCCGTGCCCGGGGGCCGCCCCCCAGCGCCCGAGGGAGAGGAGGGAGCGGCAGCGGGGCACGTGTTCCCGGCAGCCGGGGAAGCTGCTCCCCCCCCCCAGCCCCAGAGGAGGCCGCCGGGGCCGTGCAAACTCCGCCCCTGATCCCGGGGAACCGCGGGGTGGACCTGCCCCGGGCAGCTGCCGGCCCAGCCCCTTTCCCCGGGACCCTCCCTCGCCCTGCTGGGACCCACCCGCAGCATCCCCCGGCTCCTACCCGAGGGCGGGCCCCGTCAGCCATCGCCCGGGCGCTGCTGCAGCCCAGCGGGCGCCCCGCTCCCGAGCCCGGCTCCCGGGAGCCCCGGGCTCCCCGCACGCTCCCGCTTTGCCGGGGCGATGCCGCCTGCGGGGCTCGCGGGCACCCCCTAGCGCCCCGTGTGCGTAACCACCGGCCGGGCTGCGCCGGGAGAGCCCGCCCCTACCTGCCGCCGCCGCTTTCAGGCCCCCCTCGACCGGGCGGGGTTCGGGCTCGGGCTTGGGCCGGCCGGGTGTGCGGAGCCATTCATAAGAGTTGGTTCTGGGTCCAAAAACCACCCGCGCCTAAAGCATGTGAGGGGCCGGGGGCTGGTTCCTCCCGTGAGCGGCTTGCCCCAGCCCGGGGTGAGGGGTGGAGGTGGCCACTGGAAGGGTCCGCGCTTCCTTTCCCGCAGAGCTGGTTTGGGGGTCGGTCAGCGGCGGCAGTTTCCCTTGTGCACGGTGATGATGCTAACCAGGACGGGCGAAGGGCTTTTTCAGCCCTGGACTTTGTTAACATGGCACAGGGCGGAGGGGCCGCCGAGCCAAACTCTGATACCTCGTGTGCAACGTGCGGCGCTGTCTATATTCTGCTCGGCTCCCAGTGGAGTCACTCCGGATTTATAGCGGTGTCAAAGCAAGAGCAAAATTTCACTGGAGTCTCTGGAATGATTGATCCGTTCTCACTTCTCCCGCCTGCATCCGACTGTAGGAGAACTCCAGGACAACCGCTTCATGAAGGAATAGCCAGCTCCGTGACCCAAGGCCCTCTTGGCACAGCGGTACATACGGGTTGCAAGGATCCCCTGGGTCTGGTATGTTTGTGGTAGCCTGCCCATTAATGGTATGTAGGGTCTCCAATGAAAGCCTGTGTCACACGGATTATCAAAATCATTGCGAGATGTACGGAAAATAGGTGAAGAGTTCTGTTTTATGCTAAAAACTCTGCTCTCTGGGGCAGTGAGTTAAGGCAAGTCACTGACAGGTGATCCACAAACTCCTGTCAAGCGGGGGGAAGAGACATTTATCTCACTCTGGCTGGTCACATGCAAGTTAAGTACTGTACGACTCACAATGGACGGCCATTTACGGTCTGAGCAAAATGCTAGTCACTAGGTGGTGGAGGTTGCTGGACAAAACAAGAACAGCCGGGGTTCTCCTGTTTACAGTAAGACAATGAACTCTTGAGACTAGATTTGGGGTGCAGATAAACCCCCAGTTCTCCTTCCGTCTATATGAACAAACCACCAGCGGGTTTGATCTTATGGGAAGGGGTCTCAGCCAAATCGGCTGAAAAGGCTGGGGAAAGGACAGGGGACTGGGTGGGGGAGTCAGCTACTCACAGGAGCCAGGGCCAGGCCTTGGGAGTCCTATTTAGGGGCTAGGGAGCCTGTTCTGATTTTGTCTCATACGTAACCATGTGTTTGGGGGCAGGGATAGCACAGTGGTTTGAGCATTGGCCTGCTAAACCCAGGGTTGTGAGTTCAAGCCTTGAGGGGGCCATTTGGGATCTGGGGCAAAAATTGGGGATTGGTCCTGCTTTGAGCAGGGGGTTGGACTAGATGACCTCCTGAGGTCCCTTCCAACCCTGATATTCTATATTTCCAACATTCTGTCTGCCCCTCACTTGAATCTCGGTTCTCTGATTATAAACATCTCCTCCTTGTCGCTCTACGTCTACCGGAGCTGCGTGACGCAGAGCGGGGACCCTGAGCGGGCGTGTTCTGCTCCTTTGGGAGCAGCGAATCCGAGAGCTCTGCACTCAGCAGGGTTAGGAGTGCATGGCTGTTCCTCTGAAACCAGTCATAATGTAAGATTCAGGCCTGTATTTCCGCCTGAGACAGAATTTTGGGCCCTGTTGGCCTGTTTGATTCTTGATACACTTATATTCTTACTAATATGTGTGAACAAAGGGATCCTTACTGAAATGTGTAAACAAAGGGCAAAAATGTGGCTTCTGCCTGGCCAGGTGGGTTTGTTGGTGTAACAGGAACAGATAAGAGCAGTTAAAGTGTTACTGGGCATGGCGGGCGGGCAGGTGTGTAACAGACAAGCACACACTTGAAGATTGCCTCAGCTCCTGTCTCAAGAAAAGGTCAAACAACCAGTCGGGAGGGGCAAGGAGGATTGGGGGAAGGTATAAAACACGAAAAGGCCAAAGAAATGCCTGTCCTGACCATAGCACAACCTCGCTCCTTACCCCTCCCATGGGGTACAAAAGAGGTGGGATGAAGACCCCAGACTCAAGGCCCCCCCAAAATGGGACACAACCATAAACTGTAAGGGTATGCATTGCAGGTATAATTATGCCTACTAAAGGGGAATGGGGACACGGGGTAAAGGCTCTGCGGCGTCGGAGCCGGGAAGGGGGACGCGGGGTAAAGGCTCCGCAGCATCGGAGCCAGGAAGGGGGTGGTCGTGCCCTCGAGTTAATTAGATCTGCAGAAAGAGATTCTGTTTGTAATGAACTATTTTTATTGCTCCAAACCCCCTGCACACAATACAAGAGATTACACAGGATTCACAGGTATTGCTGTTAGGAATGTAACTATCGTTTAAAGAAGTACCCGTTTAAACTATTAAAATTATATTGTTAACTGTTTCATCGTTAACCATCTACCCCTGGCGGGGGGCTACCCACCCTGCTGTCTCTGGAGTGCAGTGGGCTGGGGGATCATTTGCGTGTGCACGGCTGGGCGTTGCCACCCCTCGCTCTCCCAGTTTCTAGCCACTGCCTAGTGCGGCTAGTTCGGCAGATCGGTGCCAGGGCAGAGCCAAGCTTTCCAGCAGATCCAGTGGTTCCCAGCCAGATCCACTGCTGCAGCCAGTTGCAAGAGAAGCAGAGCTGGGGGGCTGCCCCCGACGGTGCCCTCTCTGCCGGACACAGGCTGATCCAATGGCCCCCCAAGCCACGAAAGCGTTGCAAGCTCCCGCGCTCCCCGGGTATTGCTGTGACATTTTTGATGTGCGCATTAGGTATTACAATGTCACAAATTATTTTACCAACTGGTTTTAAACGTTAATTGGAATATATTACCGGTAAGACTAACGCTGATCGGCTAACCGTGTAACATTTTACCTCCCTAACTGCTGTATGGTTCTACCACACGCGACAACACTGCAATAAACCCCTTCTCTCACCCCTAGAGAGAGACATTGGTTTCTGCCATTGCTACTCACAGCAGCGAGCAATTACTGAGTGTTCCGAGTGACGTCTGCAGCACGCGCCCAATGCCTCCGCTGATGCCAGCCGTTCTTGTGCCTTCCAAGCTCCCACAGAGGAGGAGGTGCAAAGACAGCAAGATCAAGCCCTAGCCTGGCTCAGAGAAGCACCGGGCACACAAACTTCACACTAGATTTTTTTAAAAAGCATCCAAATTTTTGTGTGTGTCAGCGTGGTGCTGGAGAAAGGTGACAGCCCAGGAGACAGGCTTCCTCTACCCCCAGAGCATGTACACAGACAGCGTGGCACAAGCAACCCAAACCATGCTCTTGATCTGGGGAAGTCCAGTTCTAGCAGGCAGGACCGTTAATTCGGCACAACTCATTCAAACCTCAGCCTCTCTGCTGGGAACACCACGAAGGGGGCTAATTTGGGAAGGGTACATGGACATCTGTCCACTGGTAAAATGGCTGAGACCCGGCATACTCATTTCCCATGGGCCACTTTCCATCAATATCAACCCCAGTGAGATTTAAACGGGTAACCCAGCAGTAGAAAGCTCTCCCTCTCATTAGGAATTGCTATTCAGTTCTCGACTTTTCTAAAAATCGCCTGTGTAGATCCTGCAAAGTCTGGTGTCTCCATCAGCTCTAACACCTCAGCACGTTATGTGACCTCACACCTACCAGAAAACCGCTAAAGCACTGAGCCACCCTAAAGGTCACAAAGCAATTCCTGGAGACTTTCCCAAGTGACAGATCTGCGTGTGCGGGACTTTAACGATAAAGCTGTCTACTACTTGGACTCCTTTTAGTTCTCCAGAGCTAGACCAGCTAAGGGGGAAGAGAGCTGGATTCCAAACCCTCTTGGACATCAGTGGGAATTATTGTGGGGATTTCCTCTGGCCTGTGTTACCCAGGAGGTCAGACTAGATAGTTGCAATGGTCCCTTCTGGCCTTGGAATCTAGGAATCAACAGAATTGTTTAAGTTCAAAACATTTTCACAGGGGCAAAACTTCTGAACATAGTAAACACACAGCCAGCAGACGTGTTGAGCAAGAACGTGCCAGTTTTACTTTTCAGAGTAAAACCACCCTTTAAATAGTTCCACTCAAGACCTACGTGCTGATATACGGTGATTTTATTAAGGGTGAATTGAACAATGAGCTTTAAAGTGTCCATCCCATCAGATGGGTGGGAGAATATTTCTTACACTTTTTGGATGCTGTTCCTACCTTGGGAACATAATATGTTTCCATTTGTCAGGGCAAGTTTTCCCCACGTGCAACAAGATGTTGCATTTTTGTTCTTTCTGTGCAACTTGCGGCCCAGCGGATTAAGCCTCATGGCTTGTTTTATTGTAACGCACAACAGGAAAAGTGAACTTTGGAACCGTGATCACCGAGACCAACGTTTCTCTTGCATGAGTGACCTGGTGACGCCGAAGATCATGAATGGCTTGAAAACATCTCCCACACTCTCTGCACAGGCAGGTGGTTTGGTTATGTGGGTCTCCTGGTGCCTGAGCAGCTGTTGCTTCTGAATGAAGCACTTCTCACATCTGGTACATTTAAACCGCTTCTTCCCTGCGTGGACTCTCAGGCGCATTGCCGGGTCTCGCTTTTGAGCAAAGCATTTCCCATATTCAGTGCGCACGTGGGTCCTCTCTGCACGAGCGAGCTGGTGACGGTCTGGAGCTGCATGATTTGAGAAGTGCTTCTCACATGGGCTCCTTTTCTTCTTGTCCTGCTCCAAGGGATCTGGGATTGTAGCTGACCTCTTGTCGCTCAGGCCGGACAGATCTAACGTTACGGGCAGCCTCCTGTTCTGCTTGGAGACGTTGCTCTCACTCGGGCAGGCTTCTGCCTTGACGGAAGTCTGCAAGGCATGCTCCCTAGAGTCCCGGGGTAATAGACTGACTTGTCGCAGGCTTACATCATACACTTCGTCA